TTAATACCGTTATAAATGCCGAAATATATCTTTTATACCGATATAATTTAAATACCGTTACCGATATCGAAATAATAAAATATTTAATACCGATGTCATATAGTTCCATATAGGCGAAAGGGATTGTCAAAGACCTAAGTCCCATGTCAAAAACCTAACTGGTGAGAATGTATTAGTAGAAGCACAAAAATAAACACAGTTGTTGTATTTTTGATACGTTATTTTTTGTATGTTATTACTGGGATTTCATAAATAAAGAGGACATAGACGCCAAAGTAGAAATGCTCACAAGTGCCTTGGTTGAATCGTTCGAGGACAGCTGTCCTCTGCGAGAGCGGAGATCTGCCCAGGAGAAACCCTGGGTAACCGGGGAGATCCGGAACATTGCTAAAACTCTTCGCAAACTATTTAACCGGGCACGGCGTAAAAAGACCGCAGTATACTGGGATGAGTATCGTAGTAAACTTGGTGAATATAAGAAAATTGTTCGTAAAGCCAAACGAGACTTTGAAACGCTGATCCCAGATAGAATGTCTTGGTCAAGCGGAACCTTAGAGCCAAATCATAACACAAGCTTCCAGGCAGAAGTACGAGCAATAACGGAATGCGTAAATTGGATTAGAATATATATGGCGCCCACAGCGCTTAATATATTTACCGACAGCCAGAAGGCAATTAGGGCGATATCAGGCGATAGAACTAAATCTAAAACCGTATTGGATTGTAAGAAAGCTTTAACTGAATACTCTCCCAGAGGTAAGGTTCACATCATATGGGTACCAGCCCACTCGGGAGTAGTCGGTAACGAAAGGGCGAATGTAATAGCTATAAAGGGAAGGGAGCTCGAGGCAGTTAACCTGACAAACGCAAAACCATTCGACGCAACAAAAGCTGAACTAAAAATAAGGGTGAGAGAATCCCATAAGGCCTCATGGAATAATGAAACAGTGGGTAGAACCACGAAGATCCTATGGGGTGACCCTGATGAGCGCAAGACGAAAAATCTCCTCAAAATGAGCAAGTCTGAGGTTAGTATGATGGTACGTATTCTGAGTGGACACACAGGACTACGAGCACATCTATGCAAAATTGGACGTGCGGATTCAGACGAATGTAGAGCATGTGGAGAGGACAGTGAAACTCTGGAGCACTTTCTTTGCCACTGCCAGGCATTCGTCGAAGTTAGATCCAAGTATCTTGGAAGTGATGCTATTCCGGAAATAACATTCCTGACTAACACTGATTGGAAGATTCTTAGGAATTACGTTGAGGAAACTGAGTTTCTGAACACTGAAAAATAATTCTTTCAGTTTTTTTTTTTCATGATAAGGAACGCACAACAGGCCCGATAGTGGCCTAGGTGTATTTCTTCGGATTTGATGTAGTATACATCCTCCTATCGACCTACCTACCTACCTACCTCATAAACTAGTGAATGGAAATATTAGTTAATTCATTTTTTTCAGAAGATATTTCATCTTAAAACATATTATAAACACGTCTTTTTGTTATTTTTTACTGCACTAATGGAAAAAGAAAAAAAAGTAAGTGATATACGAAAATTTACAACTTTTCTTTTTTCAGTTTTAATTAAAATGAAATGTCAAAGAATAAAAAGTATTTTTTTTTTTTTTTCGTTTGCAAAATATAATTTATTTTCGGGGTTTTAAATACATTAAAAGTGTGGCAAAAAATAATAAATATTAAGTTAAAGTGATAAGAAAAACTATTAAGTGCTAATATCCTCGCAATTTCGCGAAGAAAATTTGAAGTTTTGTGAGTGCGTTTAGTGTGTTATATTCTTTAAGTGTGTTTTATTCTCTCAGAACTCGTCTGTGTGAAGAGAATAACAAATTTTGTTTGACAACCCCTTCAGTTTCGCCTATATCCCTACGATATGACCGATGCCGTTACTGATACTGTTATTCGTTTCGGTTGCCAACCTTGGTTTCTTTTCATTATAATTTTATAATTTGTGTAAGTTTAACACAACTTGAAGAAATTGAATTTGAATTTTTAGGCCATAAGGTGACTTCTATAAACAATGAGTTACACTACATTAACATTTACCGATGCAAAAAAATTCCTAATCAATTTTTTATCCTAATTAATTTTTTATATGAAAAATTATAATTTCATTAAGTTTTTTTTTAAATATTTATGTAGTTCCTCGTTCCATTTACAAATTCTTAATTTTTATTTAAAAACCCAAAAGTACGCAGCATTTTATCGAGCACCCCAGTAAACAATTTCTTCAGACATGTCTGATGTCAGAAATTTTCTGAAATAATTCTTATACTTTATCAGAATTTTTAACGAATTTCTAAATTTCCTTTAGACATTTACAGAATAATCGGCAAACTGTTTGTTAGACTTTTATGCACATTTTCTGAAGTATTAAACGATTAACATCAGACTGGTCTGCACATTGTCAAAAGCAAAATTTCAGTGTTACGACAATTATAAGACTAATCTGCACATTGGCGGAGGACAATTTGCTTTTTTATTCCTATATTATTTTTTAGACAAAAAGGAGAAAAGTCTGTCCATTTTCTGAAGTAAAATATAAAATGGCTTAAGAATTATATCCGATAAATCTGCACATAATCTGAAGAGAATTGTTTTTGTAACTTCGTCAGACAATTAAGCGAATAATACAAATTTCCTTTAGATATTTAACAGAATAGTCTGCAAATTTTCTGATATTTTCTGCTCGGAATTTTGTTCCCATTTTCAGTACTTTTGTAAGAAAACTTTGCGAAAACTCTGCACATTATCTGAAGGAAATTTTGTTTTTTTTTTTAATAAAAATCATGCACAAACCTGTTTATATTTTGAAATTCGTCAACTGTACTTCAAAAGGGAATTTATTTTTTTTTTCTTTTTTTTTCTCAGTTGGTCTTTGGAAATCAAGTAAACAACATCTGCATATGTGATGATTATTGTTTAAATTTCTTTAAACTTTGTTAATACACAAAAATTAGCAAAAAAAAAATTACATAATTTTTAAATAAATAGATAGATTTAAATAGATGTATATAATGAACTCTATTTTCGTATATAATATGTAAGTACTATGGTTTAATTTTATTCATTTTTAAAATAATCTATAATTTTCTATTATTTATTTATGTACCCTTAAGAAGTCATGAATAATGGAAGCATATAAATTTTTATTAAAATTAATAAAATAAAACCATTATAAATTATATATATGAAAATAGTTTTTATCAGACGTTGATCAGAATAGTCAGTCCATATTCTTATACTTGATCAGACTTTTGTACGAACTGTCGGACATTTTATCAGACATTTATCCGACATCTATCACACTTTCTTATACTTGATCAGACTTTTAAACGAACTGTCGGATACTTTATCATACATTTATCCGACATCTATCACACTTTCTTATATTTGATCAGATTTTCGTACTAAATGTCGAAAAATTGTCAAACATGGTATCAGATATTTGTCTGCCTTCAATCAGATTTGTCGAAAATTCCTTCAGAATTTCCCCAGGAATTTACATCAGATTTCGTACCGAATTCTGACCGACAACTCTGTAAATTTTTCCGAATTTCCTCAGACAAAGAGTTCCGAATTCCGAGCAACCTTTCATACGATTTCCGTAACGAATTCTGACGGAATTCGGATACGAAATCGGCAACTTATGCAGACTGTCTTTCAGAAAATGTGCAGACTATTCTGTTAAATATCTAAAGGAAATTTGTATTATTCGCTTAATTGTCTGACGAAGTTACAAAAACAATTATCTTCAGATTATGTGCAGATTTATCGGATATAATTCTTAAGCCATTTTATATTTTACTTCAGAAAATGTACATACTTTTCTCCTTTATGTCTAAAAAATAATATAGGAATAAAAAAACAAATTGTCCTCCGCCAATGTGCAGATTAGTCTTATAATTGTCGTAACACTGAAATTCCCTTTCGACAATGTGCAGACAAGTCTGATGTTAATCGTTTAATACTTCAGAAAATGTGCAGAAAAGTCTAACAAACAGTTTGCCGATTATTCTGTAAATGTCTAAAGGAAATTTAGAAATTCGTTAAAAATTCTGATAAAGTATAAGAATTATTTCAAAAAATTTCTGACATCAGACATGTCTGAAAAAATTGTTTACTGGGCATCTACACTACATCGATATCTAGTAGATTTCATTTGAAATCTTTCTTTAAAAGTTACTTTACATTATATGATTTTGTATTAATACAAAGTATTATTTGAAAATGTATTGTAGTCTGAAAAACTGAAACATTTTGTTGTTTGAAATGTATTAAGCTTTTAGAAATTTTTTAAAATCTATTTCTTTACAAAATACATAATTTATTTATAGTATTCTTTTGGATTTTAATTTGCAAATTATTATTTTTTTTTTATTTTTCACCATAATTTTCTTCATAATCCATTTGAAATTGAAAATAAACCGAAAAAATAGGTTTGATAATACATGAATGAAAATTGTTCAATACATTTTGACAACATATTTGATTTTGTATTAAGGACAATGAAACTCTGATATTAATGCAAAGTATTGTAATGTAAAACCCCCTTAAATATGTACCGCTTACACTTAATATTTTTGACATAAGGAAGATATAATATTTTTCCAAATTGTGTCTGGTTTAAAAAATAGAAGAAAATATGAGATGTTGTTTGTTTTCTCTTTTTTTCATGTGATCATCTTAATTTTTAGTACTATTTACAAAAAAAAAACAAATAGATTTTGACGAATTCTACTTACGAAGTAGTTTTGTATGGGAAATCTAGTTAAAATCAACTAGATTGGCCTAGAAATCAATATTAAAAAAATAACACTATATGTCCTCTATAGACGTCATTTGCATATATGAGCAACCGTTCTCGACGTCTATAAACGTCAACTAGTTAAATTATAAATATATTTTGAACAACAAAATAGTACAATTTTTTGTAGTTAAAATAACAAAATATATATGTTTTTTACGCATTTCAGTTAAATTTTCTATCGAAACTGACAACTTTATTGAAGTTTGTTAAAGATAACAATATAGGAGTGTCAACTCTAATTACACGAAATCTGAGTGAGAAAAATTCACAAGAATTATCATATGATGAAATAAGAGGCAGATGTAAACATGATATAAATATTATTGATTTAAATGATATAATGGACAACGAAGAAGCGAATGGATATGCGGAGGTGCTTGATCTTCTTAAAAATCATTTATGGCCTAATGTTCATATTCCAAACCACAATTCTAATAGTAAGTAACAAATTCCAAAAATATATGTATGTATAGTAGGGTTTCCCCAAAATTGAAGTTGCTGTTGTTACTGCCGAAAATTAAAATTTTGTTTATTTAAGTTACCGTTTGGTAACGTAAATATTTGGTAAGCCGTATCAAAGGAAAAAAGTAAATTTTTGAGATTTTTATGATTTTTTTTATATTTCTTACGAAGAATGTTTGTATGTACATACAATCATGGTATCATATAAAAGGTTTAGAGATTTCTTACAAATTTTGAAAAAATTTTGGGAGTAATCGAATAATTTTTTCAAATTTTCTCTTTTATTTATAAAATTGATGGCCTCACGTTGACAATACTTACATTAAAACGATCGCAATCGAGCGCGAATCATTTGCAATTATTATATTTTATTTCAGAAAATTCGAATCACGCTGTTTTTCGTTAATAAAAAAATAAAAGTTGGAAACGAAAAAATTTTTGTTTTTTTTTTTTTTTATTTTGAAATGAAGATATGTATTAAAGATATTTGTAAGTTGTATAAGCTTTGGTTAAAAAACCTACGAAGCAAAAATTGTCCAAAGGAGTTTAGACAGCTATTTCTATATTCTTCCCAAAAAAAATTTTTTTAGTCCTAATAAAGGTGATAGTCTAAGCTTTCTTTTGAAAAAAATGCAACAAAAACGTCCATTTTGAGAAAATAGGGGAAAATTAAGTGCCAAATATTGAAAAGAAATTTATTCTTGAGTTAAAAAATATTTTTTTTTGATAGATATCCCACTTCCCTTCAGGGAAATTGTTTTAGTTTAAGGAAAAAAAGGCCCATTTTGAAAAAAACGTGTGTCTTAAATTTCAAGTGAATTTCGGGAAATGGACCTGTTTTGCTACCACAATTTAAACATTTATTGGGTTTTTTCTAAACTGATTTATCATATATAAATAGTAATATAGTCTGGGCGATGGAAGTACTTATTTAATAATATTTAATACATTTTTGTATTAATGATTTGATTTCCTGTAAATTATTTACTTATGGAGGAATTCCACGTAATACGCAAAGGAAGGTCCACAATCATGAGAAATGACATCCTTTCATTCCTACAAGTCTCTGAGATATGACCATAAATATCGATGTAAATCTACAAAAAAGGGCATAAAATATTAAAAATCTTTTTTATTTCATATATTACATAAATTTCATACATATTTTTAGAGATACATGGAAAACCATGTAACGACACGGTTTTCCGCTGGTTGCTGGGGTAGTCTCAGCGGAGTACAAGGTAATTTCTTTTAAGTTTTGTTCAAGGTAAACACCGGGTTTTTCAGAAAACGTTACAAACCGTACACTTTATTGAACGTAAACTTAAAATAATGCTACTACACTAAAAAGATTTTCTTCATGATTTCCGTGAATTTTGACATTGGTCTTATGAAAAATTACATTAAAACTCAACTTATGAAACATTTCGTTGGCTAAATGAAATATTTTCATTAAAATAAAACTGATGAAATGTTTCATGAAATTCATGAACATTTTTCATTAACATAACGCTATGTATTTCATACAAAATATGATTATTTTCCATTAATGCAATGAAATGTAACATTCATTTAATGATGAATATTCAGAATAATAATGAAATTATTTAACTAGTTTAATGACAAAATTCTAAATTTCAATGAATTAATTTCATTTAATGTACGATAGAAATTCATTGGATTAATGAATATTTATATTACAGCAATGATAACAATTCTTAATATTTATGACATAATTTCGTTATTATAATGATATAATATCATAGTTTTTTTGATATTTTTTCATTATTTAAATGACTCTTGTTTATCCTCATACTAAAATAGAAATAATAGATTATTTATTTTTTTAAAATATATAAATAAATTTTTATTGATAATAAACTTGAATTCATTTAACTTAAAAATTTTGGTTTACAAAAATTAAATAAAATAATTCCATTACAATCTAAATTTAAATTAATTAAGTTTTGAAAATTAATGTATAGAAAAAATTTCAATATAAACATTAAATTAAGGTCGTTTTTTGTATAATTATTATAGTATTTTTTGTACATTTCAGTAGATTTTTTTATAAAAACATTTATAATAATGAAATTAATGTAAATGCATTTTGAAAATGAATGTATAAAAATTTTTCAATATTATATAATAAAATAAAGAAGTTATTTTAAAGTATTTACAGTAATTTTTTTACATTTTGTATAATACTTATAATAATGAAAATAATTTAAAGTATTTAAATGCATTTTGAAAATCAATGTATAGAAAACATTTCAATTTGATACAATAAAATAAAGTAGATTTGATTTGATAAATGAAATTACTAATTATCATTTTTTTCAAGTCTTCTAAAAAAATGCTAATTTTTGAATTTTTTTTACATCTTGAGTTTAAAGCAATGTTGCCCAAAATCAAGATTCCCTATCACGCGAGATAGGGCAAGAAATTTCTGCTGACGTTGCGTTGACTCACCTACACTATAAGCTTACTTGTGTATTTTCTTATTTGAGCATGTGTTAGTTGATTATCTCTCAACTTGCAAAACAAAATCAACTCAGTTGCTGATCAGCATTTGTCGAAGTAAGATCTGTACGCAACTTTTTTAATATCCACACAGAAATACAACAACAAAATTTTGAGAAAGCCGAATTTATGTAGATGAATAAGAGAGCACAGCTGATAGTTTTTTATATATGAACTTTAATGTACGCTGTCCGTCAAAATCCATAATATCAATTTGACAGTTAGAATATACTTTTTAGTTAGCAGTCATTTTATTAGTACAGTTTTATTTTGGGTTACATTTTGTTCTCTTCTGCTTTACCAATACAAATTAATGTGTAACAGTATGTGTATGGGCAGCACTGGTTTAAAGCATAAAAATAAATTTCAATAAAGGACCAAACCGATTCACAAGCTTTGGGATATTCTAAATTAAACAAATGAAAAATTTTTAAGCACAAATCTAAAGATCATAAAAAAGGAAATTGGCAATAAACTACCATCTAAGTAAATAAAAAAATTATTGATTTTTTCGAAATTTCCAATTACTAATATAAACGGTTGTATACTTTCACCTCTTTTCTGGATGAAATCAATATGGTCTTGTACTGCCTGCTTGGTACTTCCCATGAAAAGAAATGTCTCCTGCGAGTCTTTTGTAGTGAAGCGTGACATCTCTTTTTTAGCAAACACATTTTCCCGCACGTATTTTCCAGTTGGGCTAAGCCATAACACTTTAAGGGCAAACATATCGGGATCTATAAAAATTATTTCAATATTTAAAATAGATAAATTTTTTAATAAATTACCTTTTTTAGCATCATCAATGTTAATGTTTTCCAAATTCTTATTTTTATCAACGTTTTTTCCATTATTCAACTTAGAAAGGCCAATATACAATTTCATCATTTTTTCACTTCCCCAGCTTAGAATGGAATCATGCGATCCATAAATAAAAGCAAAGTCTTTATCAATCTAAAGAAACAATAAAATGTAAGTTATTTAAATGAATGTAAATTAAATGTACATCTATTAATGTACATCTATTGAATCCGTTTGTGTATTGGGGCCAAATTTTAAAAATCTCACAAAGGTTACCGCACTTGAAAATTTGTTGGAGTCTATAGTTGCTGCATGCACTCCATGCTGACTCGTGTTTTTCTGCAGAAAGGTTGTCGTGAAATAGACTTTGAGCAATAATTTGTCCTCCTTCTTCTGGAAATTCGAAATTCGATATAGATTTTGAAGTTGTGGGAAGCTCAACTTCTTGATCAAAGATTTGTTTTGTTGTTTTCTTCAAGTTGCAATACTTGGCATACAATTTACCCCGTCTTTCTGTTCTGTAGAACTCTTTTTTTTAGTTGGAAATATAGACAATATTTGTTCTTCTAATTTGTAGCTTAGTTGAAGGGACATATGTTGGCTGTTTTCGTCAAAGTAACGAGCAATTATATTAATTACCAGTGATCTTTGTTCTTCAGTAAGATTTTTAGTGATCTTATATGAATCAATTACTCGACTTCCAACTTTATTTGATTTTAAAATTTCGAATGCATTACTGCTGTCGTCAATGTCTGATGAGTTGTTGGTCGATTCACTAGATTTAATACCAGGTGAAGTGGGCGATGAAATTGTATGCATTTTTTTAAAACAAATTTCTGAACGAATTGGACGTTTTATTTCTTCTCTCCATTTCTGGAAACTGTTGCTAAACAAAACTTTATCTCCAATTTTCCATGATTTAGTTAGGTCTTCTAGTTGGTTAAAGTTAAAAAGTTTTAGAATTTCAATAGTAACATTTTCATCTGAAATTTAAAAAAAAGATTTAGTTCTAAAAAAGATTTAATATTAAAAAAACTTACCCTTAAGTAATTGGAATATATTACCCAAATTCCAAGAAACAAGAAGACTTTTTAAATCGTCCTGTATGTTGTTGTCCTCAATTTCAGTATCGGACATGGCTTTTTTTTAGAAATTCTGTATAGAAAATGTTTATTGGTGATTTAATGATAAAATGCATATTGTGAAAAAGATATTCAAAACTAATAAAAGGTCTTATTTATAACAATTTATCAAAGGTATATAAGAACATTTTTTATCTAAACCTTTAATAATTTGTTATGAATAAGACAGTAAATATTTAGTTTATAATAAAGGCATTAGTTAATAAATTTCTTTAAAGCGCAACATGTATTTTCCCCTACATGTACTAATTACAGTGGTCGGCGGTCCCACTAATTCTTTTATATTTATAATTTCATATTCACTCAAATCGCTAGGATTAAATTCAAACGCAGTATAATGTTTAATATATGTAATATTTTTTACTTTTTGACAAAACAAAACTACAGTTTCCTCTAAAACGACGATATTGATTATTTTGTAAAGTTGCAACATTGTATGATTTTTTATATGTTGTACATTTGTAACTGACTTTGTCATATACTTTTAGAATTTCCTTTGGTCTTTGAAG